TATTCTTATGAGATAAAGGAATATAAAAATAATCTACTAAAACTTCTGACATCTGAACAATACTTTTTCTTTTCCCTTATCAAAACAAGATTTTAAAGAAAAGTATACCTGGAGTTTTGTAACCATACTCATTGAATGTATTTCTTGAAATCAAGTAAATTTTTATTTTCCTCAAAATTATTTTCACTTTAACTTAAAAAAATCAATGAAACAAACGATTTCTTTAATTTAAATTTTTTTTTCGGGTGCATCTCACTAGAGGATTAAATTTGTTCTCGACTAAGGAATTTATTTTACGAATTCTATTATTATTTTCTAAATGAAGTATCATAGATGTGAAATTATTATAGGTTGCGTGTAACTTTCAACTGTGAAACGGCACACGGCATCGTTTGTGTCGATCCCTCTGGGCTGTCTTGATTTCTTGTATAATCGAAATTAATTGACAATTTGCCGCTCGAGGGATTACGAATAGCCGGACTGTCGACCGGGAATTTTGTTTCGCACGTGACCTCCCGAAATGGTCTTCGCCCGGAAGTTTCAATGAGTTGCATTCACGACAATCACGAGTGTGCAGTTTGGTTCACGGCACGCGTGTGCCCCTTTATGATAATAAAACGAAAGAGTCATTCGTGTCCTCCGAGCTATTTGCCGATAAACGACAAATATTGTACATACATTAATTCGCATTCGTGCCCATTATCCTCTCGTATTGGAAGTGATTTTGAAGTGCAACGCTACCGCGTGAGTATTTGCCTACGTATTTGCTGAATTAAACAAGACACACAGTTGATGCTTTCACGCGCGATTCGTGGGTGGATGAGATATGTTGATACACGTATCTAGTGGCTTCCGTGCGAGATAGTCCTGTTTACCCAATCTGCTACTTGTGTACATACGCAAGATGTATCGTATATAGATCTCGTTGGATTTTGCCTGGTATTAATAAAAAAAGGAGAGCTTATTACTTGTATGTCTCAGATTCTCTTTAAAAATATCGCTGTGAATTTAACACAATGGGTTTAGATGGAAACCATTGTGGTTTTAAATCCACACACAAAGAAAAGACTTGTTTTAACTCGAGAGTTCAATTCACGTTTGTTTCGTTGAAACTAGTTTAACTTTAAATGAAATAATTTGTTTAGTCAAAAAAATTTAGTTTTAATAAAAATAATCACATTCTTAATTTAAATATTCAATTTCGTTGGACTATTCCAATGCACAAATTTGTTTAATGTAAAGAAACTTTTTCTCTGTACATCATGTTAAAATTGATATTTACATGATGGGAAGTATTACGTGCTGCAGATATCGCATGGTGTTAAATCTACATTGATACTTTTTGGAGAGTTCGATTCGATCTTTCTCAAATCACTCGTTCGCGCGTGAAATGTTTTTCAGGGAAAAATCCATGACACTTGGGGAAAGTAAACATACGATACGTCGCAATTAGCGTGGAACATGCGGTGAAAATGCACCACTGTTTGTATCCGCGCGTCCATTTAAGTCGTTCTCAAGGCGTTCTTACGTCGTAACGGAACACCGATCACTCCGCTCCGCTCCAGGGATCAGCTCGCTCGCGCGGGTTAATGAGCTCCTCTCTGTGCGTACACCATGGTCGAGTGACGTTTCCACTCGGCTTCGTTGCTTCCGAGATACCGCGACACCCACGTGCCAACGTCAAGTCCCACGTATCCGAAGTACTTGCGTAGGCACTCGGCCGCGGTGTTAACGTAATCACGAGGCAGCGGCGGCGAACAGCTGCAGCATCGCGTTGGCGCACGCGGTATTAGAAAGGCGGTCGCGACTGGGAGATGTCACAAGGTAAACCGCATAACATAACTGGGATACACAGGGAGTTATTGTGCATGCCTATCTGCGCGATCGGTAGAGGCAATAAAACGGTTTAGTGGCCGGCGGCTGAAACCGAATGCGCTCGAGCGTCCTTGAGAAAATTTCTCCCCTGTTGTTCACCACTTTCATTCTCCTACAAATTACAAGGCTCATCTTTTCGCGACGATTTATTTTCAACCGCAAAACTACGTCTCGTATACAAAATTGTCCTCATCGGGGGCTTTCTGGTCTCTGTCTCGCGAATTTTCGAATTCCGAGAGTCAAAACGAGCTTGGCTCGTGGCGAATTCATTACGTGAGTCTTGGCGATTCGTGCATGTTATTTATGCGTGCGTTAAGCATGCCCGTGTCGCGTCGGTGGCGAACAGCCTCCGTTGGTCGATAGACAGAGAAAGAAAGGGACACGAAAGAGTGCGAGAGACCGCGCGCGCGATCGATCAGGTACGTCGAGAAAAAGAGAGAATAAGAGTGAGAGACTGGTATAAGCGGGGCGAGGTAAACATAAGATTACAATTTATATGAGCGGCCTCCGGACCGCAATGGTTATTCACTCGCAACTTTTTATTTATGCCGCTGCGTCCTGCCATCTCCTCTCGCCCCGCGCGAAACGCATCCGCGTAACGGGCGATAATTTTTCATTACACCAGGTCAGACGAGAGAGCCGCGGTCGCCGATCAATTCTCAGAGATTCGTATTTTAATTGGAATCTGGATTTCACCGCGTACAAAATTAATGAAGCAGAAATCACGTCTGTATGACGGTGCTATGTCAGACGACGTGAAAATCGATTAATTCGCGTTACGATTTTATAGAAAGAACTATTTTGCTGAAGATCTAAAATTTTACTGGATACAGATCTGAAAATAACGTTTGGATCATAAAAAATAATTATATTGAAAAATAAATGATGAACAATGCTGCAAAAAAACGTTTATATTTTAGCAATCACCCTGTTAAATGCATCATGTTAATAACTATACCGAATTTGAGTTGTTATATTTTCTCAATCATTTCTCTAAATTGTTATTGCTCCTACTCAATACGATGTCAATTTAACTAAAACAATGGAGTTGAACAATTTAACTCTACCAAATGTTAGACTCAAGTCAGTTTATCGTTTACTAAGTGCATACGTTAATACGTAAACACGTTGTTTACTTTGAAACCAATTATAGAAATGTATTGATTTGACGCGTACACAAGTTAAAAATAACAAAATGTTATTTCATTCAAGGGATTGAGTTACTACTGCTCCCTTGATATCCAATAGTATAGTTTCCAACAAAAGTATTTCGATGATGTAACAAAATACTTTCAAATTTATATTCAGCAAAATTTTCGATTGTTATTGAATCGTTTCAGCTGACAAGGTTCTATCGCAAACAGTCGATTGCGATGTAGAACTAGAAGGCAACAAGGACAGCATTTGTGGATCGTCTGGCGACCCTTTAATAGGAATTTATGCCAACATTCGCCTGACCTTAATTGCCGGCAGCCTGATCAATTGGCGCCAAATCGCGTCGTTCTTTGTCATAACTTGCGCCTTCCTAGATCAAACGCTAGCGCAAAGAGATCTATTCAGAATGATCGACATTAATTAAGACACAGAGCGATCGTTACGTCGATTGCGCTGAAGCGAACTCTTTTGGTGTTCCAATACGAATATTTAACGTATGGAAAATTATACGTTCGCGATGCTGTACGTCGAAGGTAAACGCCAGTAATACGCGGAGCGATATGCGAAGCTATTGAATATTCATGCGAAGTGCATTCGCCACTTCGATACTTTCTCATAACGTCACGCGTAAATACTACTGTTAACAGTGCTACATCTGGAGCGAGGTGAGCGTGGATATCCACCTCGGCAAGGTGTCTGTGTTTCCAAGATACTCGAATCAAAAAGATTGAAAATAACCGCGCGTATTCTCTCGCATAATTTCATTTGAATGAATAAACTTGTCACTTTTCTTGATATTATGTTTATATATAGAATTAATGAGAAAACAGGAAAAGAAAGTGTCCTATCTCGAATAAAATATTTATATGATATTATCTAGAATACAGGAAATTCATGAGGTGTTTGACCTACGCCAAGAAGACGCCACAAGTTTTCGCAATAATTTATCGCTTCGCCATTAAACACGTTCCGCTGACTTATGTTGGGATATTTTGTCCATAAATATATATATATTATATTATAGATGCTGGACACTATAGAAGTTGGCAACGGCACCCGAAATCGATTACCGGCATTCAGCTATAAATATTTAACGTCGGCGGAAAGACGCGCGAGGAAATCTAATGAAAGGCTAGAGACTCCGACGCGAACAACAGTAGGCCTTATTGTTATTCGAGATGCATTCACGACCGGTGACTGCCCTTGGCTGTTGGTACGGAAAGACATCGCTCCGCCAACGAAACGTTTCAATGGCTCTCGCTCGGCAGTGAAGAAATAATTGTCCGGGTCGCATCTCGGTGTCGTTAAACTTGTTAAATCGGGGGTCAGTACAGTCACACACAAACGCACACGCCGCGGCGCATTCATCGAGCGTGCCACTTTCTTTAAGAGATCATACCGCGCCACTTTCACGATGCAAAAAAAAAAAGCTTCGATCGCGCCACGGAAGCGATTCGGGCAATTTTAACGCGAAAATTGAGCCTGGCGTAATTGCGATGTTATTTCCTCACGTCGATAAAATTGCGCCGGAGAAACGCGGTACGTAAGGTACGTTTCTTCGAGAAGGATATGCGTTCAATGTATACTGATTTCAATGTATTGATACAATATATGGAGGATCTCTGAAACGGTTTGCGTAAAAAGTTGAAGTTTCTTTTGGAGATGTGGTGCCTCTTGAAAATTAATTGAATATGCTCTCTCCGTATTCTTCTGAAAATTTCAACATTTACTCTCAACACGCGCCGTTTGATCAGTTTTATTTTTTTGGTTGAAGTTTTATATTGAAATTATGGCGAACATCCTCTTCTTGAGAAACTGATTATTATATATATCTTAAAAAATCGAGTCACTGTAACGTGGGCAAATAAATCTGTGCAAGCTCGGGTTTTGTTCAGATGTCGTGGCGTGATAAATTTTCGTAACGCGTTTCGACAAACTCGTAAAGAAAAATCCTTTTGTGCCTGTTTCAGAAATTGCCGTCTTTTTTCAACAGCAAGCGAGTGGACAAGACGGACAACAATAATGCGAACAATTCTAACAGCACGAGCAACAACATCCACAATATGCCGCTGCATGAACCCATCAGCGCCACTTCCCCCGAAGTATACGGTACGTGAGAACTCTATGATTACGTGAAAATCGCGATACCTTATACGGCGCGAGTGTGGGGAAACGTGCCGGTCGTGCCGAGCTATCATTTAATACACCGTCGACCGAATTGCGTATTTAAGACGCCGCGGATACGCATATGAGCATACGGAACGCGCGCTGTTACGTTGACGTGAATTGCAGGCAATACAGGATTACGGCATATACGAGAGATATTATTCATATTCCTGGGAAAAGCGGTTCTCGGTTTACTTAGCGAACAAATAAGTACAGCTTTACACGGCTTTTTAAATAAAAATTGACCGCGCAAAATTAAATCGCAACATAGAAGTAGCGATACAAAATATCGTATAGCGTTCACAAAAATGCATAATTATACCTACAAAATGAAAGGAATGCGTCGTATGCTGGGGTATTCTTTTGATTTAGTAAAGATAATTATACATTTTTGCGACATTACATCTTGTATCGCTCCTTCTTTGCTTTGTAAATTAGAAGCCTGTCGATATTTTTTATTTGAAGTCGAGCGGCTTTCCGGAGCAGAAATTAATCAAGAAGAACTCATACGATACGTATATATACCGTTGGCAAAGATGTACCGCTGGTAACGAAAAAAGAATTTATGAGTCGTCGGAAACTTACATAACTCTCGCGAACGCCCTGAAATACGCAGCTGGCCTCATGTGTTTTTTCTTCGTGGAAAAAATAGCTGGGAGACTGCCCATGACGCCCCAGGAGGCGGTCAAGTATTACGGCTCTAGACTGACGGAATTCGAGCGTGCCGAGATCGAGAAATACTCTGAGATTTGGTACCTGGGTCTGTCGGCCCACAAAATCCACGGCGAAGAGGTCTCCTCCCAGAACGGCGGTTACGACGATGAAAACGGCAGTTACAACAAAGTCCTGCACGATCATATCTCTTACAGGTGAGAGCACCCGTTCGTCCTCTTTCGCCAAACCTCAACGCAACTTTCCCTCTACTCTTCTTAATTGTTATCGCCGCTCGCGCTTGATGTTTGTTTCGCCGAGTATACTAGCTAGCAATGGAATCTCGCAATTGCGCGCACTTGCATTCCGTATGTCGTTACTCTCGAGAGGAGAAATTACGGTTGACAGCTGCGCGCATAGTAGGGTATATCTATAAACATGCGCAAACTGTAATAAATCGCAAAACGGTAAGTAAAGATGCCCGCGATGACGAATTTTCTCCTCGCGTGAACGGTTAAACGGGACCAGCAATTATTATACAAGCGCGCTCTTCTTTTCACCTTTCTTTTACATCCCTGCTTGTCCACGTTTATTTACTCGCACGTGTGTAAAGTATTCAAAACTTGTGTGCACTTAGATACGAGATCCTGGAGGTGATCGGCAAGGGAAGTTTCGGTCAGGTGATCCGAGCACTGGATCATAAAACGGGACAACATATCGCCATCAAGATTATCAGGTACGTGGAAAAACGGTACCCTCATCTCGCGCGATGATTCAGATCGTGAGCTACGATCTGAAAAAAAAAAAAAAAAAAAAATTTTAAAAAAAAAAAAAAAAAAAAAAAAACATGGCGCATCCGCAATGAATAATGTCCTATACATCCGGCATTTTTCCGAACGTGTCCGCTTTCCGAGCATCGCGTCATTTAAACAGCGCGGCTTTCACTTGTTCTTTGCAGAAACAAGAAGAGATTCCATCACCAGGCTCTCATCGAAGTGAGAATCTTGGAACATCTCAGAAAGAAGGATTTAGAGATGAACTCGCAGCACAATGTGATACACATGCTAGAATATTTTTACTTCAGGAATCATCTGTGCATCAGTTTCGAATTAATGAGGTAGGTGAGCGATCAAGCGAGATAAACAGAGTCGGGCTGTGAGAATTTATTAAACGGAAATTAAATTTGTATTACAGCTTGAACTTGTACGAGTTAATCAAAAAGAATAATTATCAAGGATTCAGCCTGAGCCTAATTCGTCGTTTCGCCAACTCGTTAATTAGTTGCCTGAGACTGCTCTACCGAGAAAACATCATTCACTGCGACTTGAAACCGGTGGGTAAAACCCATCAAGAAGCACTAATTTTTTCTTCTCGTTAAACCAGAGTGTCTCATATACATTGTTATATAGGAAAATGTGCTGTTGAAACAACGGGGGAGCAGCTCGATTAAAGTCATCGATTTCGGCTCGTCGTGTTATAGTCACCAACGCGTTTACACGTACATACAGTCGAGGTTCTACAGGAGTCCGGAAGTGATTCTCGGTCTTACTTACGGTCCACCGATCGATATGTGGAGTCTGGGCTGTATCTTAGCCGAGCTGTACACGGGGTATCCGCTGTTTCCAGGCGAGGATGAGATAGAGCAGCTTGCCTGTATAATGGAGGTCCTCGGTCTGCCACCGGAGCACATTATCAATCATGCCTCTCGTCGCAGGCTCTTCTTCGGTAAGTTATTAATATCCCCGAGTACTGAAAATTCTGGGGGCAAAAGAATCCCCACTAAAGAAGAGGGCGTGCCGCGCGCACTATAATACTCAAAGAACCGGGTTTTAAATAATTGCAGATCAGAAGGGAAGTCCGCGATGCGTGACAAACAGCAAGGGCAAGAAGAGATGGGCAGGTAGTAAGAACCTCTCAATGGCGCTTCGGTGCTCCGACATTCTCTTCGTAAACTTCGTTAGCAGATGCCTCGAGTAAGTTCCTTATACAATATGCTGTATTATATTCTCGCGTGGATTTATTATTCGAACATTCTATTGTGCATCGACGAAATTGATTTACGATATGTTTGAAAATCTAAAGTTTTTACTTGATACATCATTTTATGGAAACTCAGGGAATGGAAGAGTTTTCATAATAATTAACCCTTCGTTTTAATGTGAAATTTTCACCCTTTATCCGTAATCTCGATCTTCAGTACAAATTCTTACATTCGTCCGAACTGTATAAGAATCTGAAAAAATTCTTAAGTACTCGCGTAAAAGCTTTAACAATAAATGTTTACTATCAGAAGGATCGTATATTACTTATCTTTTATAAATTTATCTATATCAGAATTTATAATAAAAAGGATCGTAACTATATTATTATTATTATTTTATTGTGCATAAAGATTAGAGAAATTGTGAAAAGGGTTGGAGGGTTAATAGATAATAAAAGGAGCTCCCGTAAAGTTTTTGAATCTTACAAATTCCCTATTTATGAACTTTCTATTAAATGATTACTGATACTATCAGGTGGGATCCAAAGAAGCGTATGACCCCCGACGAGGCGATGCGTCACGATTGGTTAACTTCGTCGTCGTCTTCGCACATGAGCTCCTCTTCATCGGCGATAACTTCATCGACGGTGAACGCGAGCGTGAATACGACGACAACGAGCGTGGAGACGCCGCGGGAATCCGCGCACGCTCCACAGACGGTGAGCGTGACTGTGAGCGCACCGCGGCAACGAGCAACGACGATGGAGGACCCACCGTATACGATGTACCGATTATATAAAGGTCGCAAGTATGTGCAGAAGGTCTCTACAGGTACCGACGGCACCGATAACGGTAGTGGCTTGATGGTGAAGAGCAAGCTGAACGGCAGTGCGAGCAGTCACGCCCTGGCGAGCAGTACGCAGACAGCGACATCGAGGCACGCATCGACCGGCGACATCGTTGCGAGTCTAGATCCGAATCTCGACGACTCAGGCACGTTCCTGCCGCCGATATTGTGAAGTCGGGTTTGTGCCAGCCACTTCTAAACGGGCTATTCGCGTATCGATGCGACTCGCTCTTTACACTGTGTGCGTAGATGTGTATCACTCGACATATGTCAAGAGAGCGGGTATAATTAATAAAAGACGCGTATAGAACTGGCTGGCCGGTGTTACCGTTTCTTGATGCCAAACGGCTAATTAAACGCAGAGTCTCGGCATGTATCGAGCTATGAGGCCAAAATGACGATCTGACGACGGGAGAAGAGCGTGCAGGCATGATGACGAGCAATATAGCAATCGCGTGATCGATTCGCACTCCCGAGGACTCTGGCGATCTAATATCACTCAGGTAATCGTATCGAACTCGCGCGCGCGCGCATTATCGTAGTTATTCGCGGAAAATATAGACCTGTTATAGGCCTACGATGATAATACTAGCAATTGTTAGTGTATACCAATCACATTTCGACATGGACCATCGTACCTATTTGGTTCGAATGTTGTTTATCTCACGCCTATATGAAGTGCACGATTAACAGATGACGAGATCTCGGCCGTAGCTGTAATAAAAAATTATTACAATGGAATAGAATGCGTAGTTTGCCTTGCTGTCGACGAACTGTAAGACAGACGATTCATCGTCGAGTTGTGTATTTTCGATTAAATTTTCGGTATAAAAGCTCGTACATGTGAATGCAGTCGGAAGATATAGTAGCATCATATTTTAGATAACTACGCGAGTGCAAGCGGCGCGATATGCGTATCGTGGCAACGACGATAGAGGAGCTTAATTGAAGCACGTTATGATCAAACAACGATTCGTCCGACGTATCGGAGATTACCATCGAATTACGGTCGCGCCGAGAAGACCTGAGTCGTTTGAGACCTGTGCCGCCAACACACAGGGGTCGCGCGATTAATAACGAAGCGTCAAGGCGAAGAGAGTAACATTTACAATACGTGAAGCGTGCCCCAGTTTAACGAGGCCTGAGTAGTCTTATTGTGATATTAAACTACCACTGTCTTACTTAGATCTCTCTGATATTAAGAAGTAACGATCGCTAATATAATAATTTCAATTTACTATTAATCATTATTTTCTTATTATCTATAATAATCGCTATATCGCTACTATTACCGCAAAGATATAGCGGCATACGAGTAACGAGGATTATCATCGATATAATGACAGAGTTAACACTACTCATATACGTAGGAATGTACAGATTTTAATTACGCGTTTTTCAAGTCCCGGAGCAGAGCAGCAGCAACATGCTGGTTACTATGGATACGTTAAAAAAAAAAAAAGGAGCCTTATAATTTTCGGTCATTTTCAATGAATTTTTAGTGATTCCTTATTACACCGCTCTTCAGTCATCATTAATCGTCTGCGCGACGTAACGCATGCTTTATTACGTTGAAATTGATTAATGTTGATTAACGCCCCGTGAGATTTCTCTCCGCCTTCACAGTACTACCTATTTACACGTTGCTCCTGGCATTATTCCCTGGCATTAATTAGCGATTTATAATTTTGACGCGCCCTTTCGGAACCATCACGAGCATTTTGCGATATGCAGAGGATTTGACAAAAAAAAAAACCTATTGTATAGTATTATAATGTTAGGCTACTTTTAGACTTGGTAATTGTTCGATGTGCCCGTACCCATTCTAAAGTTTCGCAAAACACGAGTTCATAATAATTACATTATTATGACGTTAGAAACGTGAGACGCGTCACGCTCCACCGTTTGCTGCTTTCGAGCTTCCACCACGGAACGTTATCTTCCGTTTTTACATGCTTCTCTAATTCTTAAAGGCCCTATTATACGTACGACACCATCAGAGGTCCTACTAAAACTGTAATCTGTATTTCATTGTCACGGCCGAAAATTGAAGCAGATATGTGAGAATACTCGCAAATTATGATCGCGTCACAAGAGACTGAAATGAATTATTATTTTATATTGCTAACGGAAATACACATGGCGAAATTGTTCCTAATGTTCGTTCTGCAAAAATCGATGTGTCGCCTTACTTTTATTACACTTTTAGCGAGCTCGTTGAGTTCTTTTGTGAAGCATATTGTTTGATTTTCGCGGAAAGTTATCGAACGTCTCACGATAATCGAAACGAATAATAAACTTGCCGTCACACAAACGGTCTCACTTTAACCCAAGAATTTTTAGGACAATTAATATCGTACCAATCTCGTAGTAATATCGCGCGACATAATCGGTGAATGGCCAATAAACGCGAGCGGATGTATATTATACTATTAAGAATTATATATATAAATATATTATTCGTATGCGGCGAATCTGCCCGAACGAACGACTGACGAAGTAGTGCATATTATATATGATACATGATTCTTACAACTTGTGGCGGGTTCGTAGCAGTCACTCTCGAGTAATTACGTCAACGTAACGACGATCATCACGAAGTCTCGGGTATGCATTTCGTTCGATTACTCCAAACGAAAAAAAAAAAAAAGAGAGAAAAAGAAAATTTGACGAAGATAATGTCTATGAGGCGACGATTTCTAGGGAACGGGAGTTATATCAAATTCTGTATAAAGACGTGACTGTGTATGTGTGTGTATGCGTGTATGCCTGTGAGAAAGACTTATCTCGGAGAGAACAAAAGAGTGCGAGAAAGAGAAGGTGTGTGGCGTATGGTTATGTGCACACATATATCTATTACATAAATATATATATACCATTATACACATGAGATGAGGTAATGCGCAAAACGAGTTAAGTCTAGGATACGATAAAGGACAATTAGAAGAAGTGCGTTCGCAAAGAACACGCGCGACTCCGTCTACGGAATCCCTGCCCCGGCACCTCGGAAAAAAAGAAAAAAAATACAAAACACCGTTCAATTGTACAGTCTTAAGTTTTTAGTTGTGTTCACTATTGTATACAGCGGGATCAAATTATACTATCTGTATAAACTGGACGGTTGTATAAATCTGTGTGACGTGCATCATCACTTATACAGAGACCAACACACGCACACTCGATACGCGTGTGTCGCGCGTACGTCGTAAAGAAACATATGAGAAGCATGTTCGTATACTGCGAAAAATACACGTTAGTGATCGGCTTAGCCTGGCGTCAGTTACCTCGATTCAAACTGGGTTTGGTCCTTGTCTTCTGGGAAGGACAGAGGGATCGCTTAAACGAATTAAAGACCGATACCGGCAAAGCTGGGACTAAAAAAAAAAAAAAAAAAAAAAAAAGAGGCAAGGCATGTACTATTTCAATACCATCCGAGAAAATCCGTGTCCTTCGACTGAAAACTACTTGACTTCGCACCTGGTCAATTCGTCGTTCGCGAATGAATAGTCGTTGCGTACGCCGCTATCTCTCCATACTGCGCGGACGGAAAAGGGAGACAGTCGCTTTTTCTAGTCCAGGATGTAACGAACGTGCTCCGAATGTACACACACATCTCACTTGAACGCGATGAAGAGAAAAAAAAAAGAGAGAAAGAAAGAGAAGAGTTTCCTCTGGCTTCAACGAAGGAATGTTCCGCGCGGCGTATATCCGTTAAGTCAGTGTGCAACTAATTAACGAATTTTAACGACGCGATTAGACATTATCGAATTAAAATTAAGTATAACGCGTGTGCGTGCGTGACCCTTCTCCCCTTCCCGCAATGGACAAACGCGTCCGATGAAGAGACCTCTGCGAGGCGTTTATTGCGAAGAGCCATCGTTGCGACAACCGAGCCTCATAGATCATCCTAGTAGGACAATCATAGAGTTACGCGTTTGTATTTGACGCGCTAGTAAGTTTTTCATTAGATGATAGAGACGCGAGCGACCACAACGAGAAATTATCTCTCGCTTGAGAAGCTCGTTAATGCATGAAATGCTCTTGTGGGCGTATGTGGCCACGCACGCGCGTCGCTCTTCTAAGCTCTAAGAGGAGCTCTCGGTACGCGCGAATCCGCACGGAAGTGAGAATATATCTCGCAAACACGAAGAGAAGTGCAGGAAGAGCGATTCCGATAAAAATGTGGGAGCGAGAGTTCATACAGTGATTTGTAATCTGGCGTTCAAATTGCGGATGCTTGTTATAAATGTGTAAGTGCGAGTTCGTCAATTTCTGCCCAGACTTAACTATAGCAAACGAGAGAATTGCTAATAAATGATTATTATAATGCCAGTGTGTGTGTTGTGTGTGCGTATACATATATGCACACATACATATATACTGATACGATACTGAAGCATCATCTTTTGTATCATTTGTTCGTTTGTTTTTATCTTACTGCGTTTGTCTTTCATTATTAATGCAATACCAAGATCACTCGGTTTCGACTCGGTATCTTGTGTGTAAATATATAACTAATAAAAAATATGTACACAAATGCAACGAAAGTACGTTTTCATGACACATATCTTCCTTTTCCTTGCAGCATGTCTCCATATTCTTGTAGTGTTAAATACCAAATATCTATGATTTAAATAGTTTATTTTTAACATACTCATATTAAATACACCATATATATAAGATACAACGTAATATGCTTAATTTATCGATGAGTAAAAGATGTGTCAATATTCAGAACCATTGTTTATGGATAAACGACCAACTATTTTACTGCCAATTTAATTAGTGAGAGAATAGATGCAAGTTCTGAATACAACACAGACTTACGATATTAGAACGTTAAAAGTGAGTAGAGAACAAAAAAGACTGAATAAGTAACAAATATTTTTTAAAAAAAAGGACAATGTTTTAGATAGACAGAAGGCACAGGATGATTTAACGTTACATGTACTGCTTCTTGATATATGCATTCGTACTGAATCTGAATTCATTTTCTAATGATAGATGGATGCTACACATATTCTTCTAACGAAAATGTAAGATCGATGACACTGATTTAAATAACTGTCGGAGATCGTTGCATGCACGACAATATAGATAGACATACATGTCTACAATATAGATAAAATACCACAGCATATATGTATGTAATCTCAAAGTAAGTTCGTTCCATCACTTTTGTTTCAATGCTACCTCCGCCTCTCTCCTTTTTGAGTTTTTCTCTTCTCCTTTTTTTCTTCTTTTAATTGCTTTTGCTTCTCTCTAAAATATAAAACTATTTTAAGTTTCATATATTTATCTAATGTTTTTAAATCCGTATCTCAAATTGCAGATAGAAGATTGAGGATTGCGAATTGAGGATTATAGAATTAAACTAACTAGATAATTTTGATTTTAATCTACTTTGTTCTAATTGGTTGAACTTGGAGACCCTATAACAAAGTCTGATCACGAATGATTTTATCAAAATCTTACAAGAGAGAGAAAAAGATACATACAGTGGTGGTAGAAATAATAGATACACTAACTTATTTGTTGTTCTTTTTCGATTTGCAAACATATGTGTTAATGCTAGGTTATGTTACTTTTTTAGTTAAACGTCGAAACATTTAAAAACATGTTTATAAATAATCTCAGTTGACCTTTAGAATTAAGTAGGTAAATGCAGACGTTTTTCGAAGAATGTGATTTCGGACTGGCAGAAATAAGTACAAGCGGTTTTCTAGTTATTAAATTTTGTTCAACATTTTTATATTGTCAGAAATTATAAATCTATGTTTAATTTAGTATTTACCAAAATTATTTTGCGATAATCTTATTTACAATTGATGAAAAATAGGTCGATCGAAACATTGTACAGCTGAAAAGAAAAGATTGCAATAAAAAAAATCTTCATAAAAATGAAAAATCTCTCGGGGAAATATCTAAATTGATTGGACCGTCTAAAAATATGATCGCTAACGCCTTAAAAGCACGCAGCAGAATCTCGAAAAACAACGGAAGTATTTGACCGGCTACTACTTCGAAAATGCAAAGGTGATCCCCTTGCGAATTCTTTTACACTGAAGTAGCAAACTAATATCAATATCAGCAAGACAATTCGTCAAAGACTGTAAGATGCTAAATTGTGTGCTAGAACCTCGAGAAAAGTACCACTGTTAAGTAAAAAAAATATTAGATGGAGAGAGAGAGAGAGAGAGAGAGAGAGAGAGAGAGAGAGAGAGAGAGAGAGAGAGGGAAGCAGTGGAGAAATATTCTTTGGAGCGACGAAACAAGGATTAATTTGTTTGGATCTGATGGCGCATTAACTATGAGAAGGCCTCCAAATGCTGCATTTAATTGATCTGAATACTTTTTTCTATCTTCTGCACATAAAATTACGATTTATCTGCAGTGTACCTATTATTTCTGCCACCACTATATATATTCCATTTTTATCAATTAACTTGAATCTTAGTTTTTATCTTTTTCATTCTAAAGCTGTGTCTACAGTATTAGAACTTGGTTAGAGTTCTTGGACAACGTGTAGTTTTTATTGAAAAATGGTAAGTTGGCTATATATAACGAGAATTCGGATCGAGTTCTAGCACTGTGGACTTAAGAATTAAAAAGGATAAAGAGTAAATTAAACTGAGATAAATCTACATGATGGAAATGGACATTATTCAGTTGAATTCTGATCTCCACAATTTGCAATCTTCAATATATAGTTTGATACGTGCTTTAGTGTATCAATGCTACAATCATTTTACCTGTCTTCCTTGTCCTTTTCCTTTTTCTTCTGACTCTCCAGCTTGGCTTTTTCTCTTTTTTCTTTTTCTTGCTGTATGATAGTAGCTACATTCAAGTTCTTTTCGATTCCACAGTCTCCACCGCTTGCTCCATCCTCTTCCCCATCTCCTCCGCTATTATCTTCATCCGACATTTGACTGTATTGTGCTAGTATAGCCTCTCGTATCCGTCTCTCTTCCTCCGTATAGCTCCTCTGTGTCGTTGTGGGTAGACTCTGTGACTCCAGCATTTTTGCCAGTCTGACATCAACGTCTTCCATAGGTGCAGGTGCTGCGGCTACTTGCTCAGTTGGCAACCACTCTGCCCACGCGCTTAAGATTTCCGCTACATGTTTGCTGATATTATCTTCCTGCAATAGAAGAAACAAAATCTCTGTGAACTCTATATCGTACTCTTTCAATTCTTTAGAGTGGAATCTCATTTTAAAAAGTGAAAATTGAGCCGATCTTGAAAAGAAGTGGCTCAGTTTTCGATTTTGAGAGAGTGACATTTCACTCTTCAGAGAGATCCACTCTAAAAGTTTTAAAGCATAAAAAGCATTACGTAATTTCGTACAAGAATAAATTCTTATTCTTGTTCCTGGCACGTTTAAAAAAAATCTATACTTTCTTAGAAAAACTCTTATCTTTGATTCCCGATCTCAGTTTCCCGATCTTCGTGCTGTCGGTGAACGAAAACGACAGACAATTCCACGCGGAGGTAAGACTCCCTGGAGGAGAGCGTACGGGAGACGTAGACATGTACTTTCGGAGCACGAGCTCGCGGCTATTTCCGACCGGCTGACGACGCATAGCGGCGGCAGCTGCGCGTGTTCTAACCTCAACCGTGAGCAGCGCTAATCAACCACTCACCGTTATGCCCGCGAGGATGCTCTCGAGCGCCTCGGTCTTCTCGTCCTCGGACTCGTCACCTTCGAGGATGCCTCGGATATACGTGCCGAAGACACCTTCGTCCGTGTTGAGCGCCTGCAGCTTCTTACTGAGCCAGGCGTCGAAGGAGCTCGCCGTGACCGCCATCGCTCTCTCGTGCTCCGGCACTCACGCGGTTTTAACTTCACCGGTCGCCTGTTCGCGCGCGCTCCGACTGTCGTAGGAAGAACGGAAGGAAGAAAGGATGCAGCGTCGCCGCGATGTGACGCCTGATCGTCCGAGCAGTCACATCTTTCCGATCCTGGACGCGACAAGCCGGCGAACGGTCACCCGGTCAGCTCCACGACGGCGGCGTGGACATCGCCGTGTCGGAGCTCTCAGGCTTTATCCGTTTCTATGGCACAGATCTCGACGCGCGTAAGATGAACGTATATGTCACGCGTGCTCTTACATACGGCGTCGTGAATGCCGTACCGTTTCTGGAACACATTTCCGGAGCGTGCGCACCTTGACACTCACGCGTCGTAACTGCGCGCGCCTGTGTTGTGCCGTGTCGTACATTTTTCATGCTAGAACGTGAAAGAGAGAGTTTAATAACCATGTTGAACATTATATAATTCGTACGAGATGTAGAAAATGAACGTATCGGTGACTTTTAGCAAATTTCCATTTCTTTGAACGATATTAATTTCTTGAATGTATCATTCAGGATATTTCATTAATTTAGAATTATTTTCCGTCAGCAGGCAGAAAACTTCATGGTTACTTGGATTAAAATTGGCTGGGTTCAGCAGAGAAAGCAGCTTTGCACTATTGTAAATTTTTTTTATTACAATTAGTTTATACCAGAGTTGGGTAGTGCTAAATTAAAAAGTTAAAAGTTAAGTTAAAAAGTTAAAAAGTTAATTAATCTTAACTTAACTTAGTTACATTTTAGACTCCTAACTTTTTAACTTTATTTAGTTACATTTTATTAGTAACTAATAACTTTTTATTATTGTTTTTTTAAAGTTAAGTGTCAGACACAATACAAGCCATACGTAACGAAAGATACGAATTCCGGCCGGCTTGCAGCACACGATCAGCGCCTTCGCGAATTTTTGCACAAAACCTCAAACTCTTATTATAGAATCTGTACCTGCAAGTAGAGACTCTTTATTGTCCGCAAGGAGACACGAGTTTACATCACTGGTTCTAACTGCAGGATTTGCAGCTTGCAGTAGCTTATAGTCACTTGTAGTTTGCTGCTGCATTTATTCGGTATTCGGTTATAATAATAAGAGTTTGAGGTTTTGTGCAAAAACGCAATGAGTGTTGATATTGATAATATCATATATATATATTTATATATAAAACAGAGTATATACATGTGTATATATATAGAAACAAAACATTATAAAATATATATATTATTATAAAAAATATTAATATAATAAAATTTTGGATATGCTCTAAAATCTAAATAGTTTTTGTTCTATTGTCACTTCCGTTATTATTGTGACTGAAACCCTGAAATCATGAAAAAAAAAATTTTTTAACTTTTAACTTTTCAATTACATTTTTTTATTGACTTAACTTTTAATTCAATTAATTTCATTATACATTAACTTGTATCTTAACTAAGTTAAATTTTCAAGGTTGTTAACTTTAACTTAACTTAGTTTAAAAAAAAAAGTAACTTACCCAACCCTGGACTTTATACATTTAGATCCAGTGAGGAATTAAGAGAACAAGAAAAATGTATTTAAAAAAAAATCTTATTAATTTGTACGAAGCTGATGGTAGATTTTTTCAAGATCATCAATTAATTTTAACTAAAATCGCTAGTAAAAAGTGTTATTACTTTTTAATTACAAGTAAACACAGCTATACAATTACAATATATATAAATAAAAAAATTGACAAATTAAAGAAAATGTCATAATAAGAACTCATATAAGACCTCCAAGAGATATCTTGCAGCAAAAGAACGTTTCCAGGACATCCGTTGGATAAAGTGTGATGTCACGAGGTGTTATAAAATAAAAACTATATCAAGAAAAGAAGTAAAAGCATGCCATATTGTTTACATTCTTCATACTAGATGCGTGATTCAATTTTTCTACGCATATATATTCATGCAAGTATCTGGCTATGCCCTTTTAAAGATGAAGAAAAAGAGAAATGAATTATAAACAATTCAATTTCAAAAGTACCGCGTTATCGTCAGATGATCGCGCTCGCGTGCCACTTGATAGCGATCGCAGCGACTTGCCGCGGCACAGTGCGGAAGTGTTTCCCATTGCCTCTCAAATGTGTCGTCCCGTACGTTGTCACGAACGTATTTAGCATATAAAATATGAACGTGATCGCGAAATCGACAAGTCTCTCGCCGTTCCTGCGGGCGACGGCGACTGTCGTCTCAAATGGAGGAATGCCTGTGGCCGCGACCGGTAAAGTTAGCAAACCAAAGATTAACGTTCCCCAACCTTTCAGGCGGAGGCTCCCGCAGACTGTCTATCAGGATCTTCTTACCGGACCTACATGCATAAGCTCGGGAGTCGCAGGTGCGTTTCTATTACTAGCCTGTTCCACGCCACGAGTATTCCATGAATTTGTGCTCTACAATAAATCGCGCCGATTATTCATCCTATTCGCGATTATATAATCGATATGTGCACTTCGCAGATCGCTGCGCTATCAGTTGAGTGTAGGCCCGAATCAGCGTGAATACATCAACGATTGTTTTAACTTTAAGTGAGACTTAAGCAAGATTTGTATCTGTCTTTATCTTCTTTTGTAAATAAACACAGACACGTATTTAAATCTCGCTTAAAGTCAAAATATCGCTGATGCAATCGGATTTTAGACTTGTAAATCCAAATAATATGCATTGTCTTTGTCTAGAAATCATCTTTATAATGTCTTTTAGACAGGCATGTTGTCTGGGAACTTGGGGAGTTACTCCAAGATAACGTTAACTGTTATAAATATAAATTGATGAAAATCTACAGAAGATTTTGATAGGTTTCCCTGCTATTTGAGCCTCCTGTTCAAACCTGAAACGATAACATGACAAACATGCTGTGCTCCAATATGTGCTGTCAATCCTGGAATCTATAATTTACGTGTATTATAGAAACTTTTCAGTACTGACAGTGTATATTGAAACAGTCAAAAACCGGTATTCATATTCAATTTTTATATTTGAGATTGTCTTAAGCACAGCCTTAAGATGTCATAAGTCAATCAGATTGTATTAACATCTTAAGACGTTACTTGAGTTAGTCTTAAAATAAGAACGGAGACTATGAATACCTTCCAAAGTCTGTTTTTTTCATGTTTCTGTTAACATAGTTTAATTTTAATCTTATGAATTTGAATTAACTCTTTATCTTTTTCTAGTTCCAAGAATTAGAAAAAGGTAAAGTGTAAGTTTAACCGAGATTGAAATTACTCTACATCGATAGAAACAGACATCAACTGAACTTCTTGTATATTCATCTTGTAATTCATCTTTCTTTTTTTCTTTTTATATTTGAGAGAAAAAGAGAAAAGATGGACATACATACAGAAAGTTTATCAGCTAAAAACAACGGGCCTATAATCTTTTATGTTATTGCAGTCAACACACAGGTACATCAGCGACGTTTGGCACACACCGACATTCAGTGGCCAGATTACTCCTATTATCGCAAAGATGAAGTAAAAGATCCTAATGCAAAATCAAAGGACAGTGCACCAACCCGAAAGGGTATCTCTTATCTTATCGCAGCTGGCAAGTACAAAGAAAATGTCTTACACATCTTAAATATGATCCCACAATCTAGAACGTCTTTGATTTTGTGCATCTAGGTGGTTCTGTGGCAGGTGTTTATAGCGCAAAAGTACTAGTGCACAACATGGTTGGCGCAATGAGTCCAACGGCTGATGTACTTGCCATGGCAAAAATTGAGATAAATCTCGGCAATATTCCTGAAGGCAAGAGTGCTATCTTCAAATGGCGTGGAAAGCCCTTGTTTGTACGACACAGGTAATTTAGTTGATAATTTATTGTGTAAAGCCTGTATCAAACTATAAATTAAGATTGAGATTGGATTTGACCAATTAAAGCATAGTTCATTAAACTCAACGTTTGTTTTTTTTATACTGATTGCTTAAATTCTAGTCTAATCTCAATTACATTTCAGCAAAAGATGACTATCTAATGTAAGGTTAATACTACGTTTATCATGCGATAAAGTTTTTGAGCTGCAGAAGATTCTCAGATCTCTCTATCTTGTCAATCAACATTGAAAAATTTGTCGTGCGACAAATGTAATACCAACCTAATCATTATATCTTTGTTATTCGCTAATGTTAAACAGATTTGAAATGATTCATTATGTTCAGTTTAATGTTAATATACAATTGAAAAGTGCAGAAACGGAAAATAATAAGTTTCAATCTATCAGAAACTATTCTAATCATTTTCGATAAATTAAAATCTGTTGTTGCCTGTTAATATCGCCTGTGCTTTCCAATTGTTTCTCAGGTTTAACATATATGTTTCTTGATGGATAGTATGTCTAATTTGCAGTCTGATACGGGCTTAAGAAAAATGTTTCTGTTTAATGTAAGTATTGTATTATATTCGTGGGAATTTATAGACCTCAATCAGAAATCGACAAGGAAGGTAAAGTGAACGTTGCGAATCTCCGTGATCCGGAAGAAGACAACGTTCGCGTGAAGGATCCCCAATGGCTGATCGTTATAGGTGTTTGCACGCATTTGGGATGCGTACCCATCGCTAATGCGGGAGATTTCGGTGGTTACTATTGCCCGTGCCACGGATCTCACTACGACGCCAGTGGTAGGATTCGAAAAGGACCAGCTCCGCTAAACCTTGAAGTACCACCCTATGAGTTTGTCGATGATGGCAAAATGCTCATTGTTGGTTAATGACTATTTGCGTTATCTGTAGTCAAATAATAAAATAATTTATAATATAAAATACTCCGTGGGTATGCGTATTGTTATCGCGAAAGAATCAGAGAAATATGTTTTTGTAAATTTCTTGAAATTTAACGAAGGACTTTCTTTTAAGCATTACAGAATTATTCGAACATTTCGAACATAACAGTGTGACCGCTGTATCGTATTCAGAATAAATATTAAGTAAACAAATATTTATGTAGATTAATTGCTCAATTTCATTGATATTTATAGGAACCCTTACAGAATTTTAATACTTGAAAGGTAATGATAAATTATTATTAGTTTTGAGTTTAGAAATGACATGTGAGACATATAATTAATTAGAATTCGCGAAGCGCATTGAATGATTATCATCAATCGGGATACTGTGTGATGTATTTGAAATGCAATTGGTTCGAATAATTTCTAAAAGAGCTTAGCACGCAGATAAACGAATCTTTATAATTTTTAGAATATTAATAACAAAAAGTTCCAAAGAGACTTTATTTCAAGATTTCAGAAAAAGGAAACTAGATTAAGGTACTGTCGTTGCTTTCCATGCTTAAAATAAGTAATTAATCACTTCTTTTATTATATATGTATATATATTAAACTAGCCACTATTAACTCTTAGCACACACGATTGAATCATTCGTGTCCTGCACACTTCTTTGATATTTAAAACTAGGAACCTCAGATAATTAGTTATTTATATATAATTTTTTGAAATACAATATAACCCCTCTTATAAAAATAAATTCTAAAGATGTTAAAGCATATATACATAAGAATCTCTCACTTAATAATTTTTATATATTTGTTAAATTAATCAAAATTAATTCGGAATACAAATGATCCATCATGTGTAGTAAAGAAAAATCATTGTGTAGTTAGAATTAAATTGAAAATCTGTAAAGTGGCATTCACAGTAAGTTTTTGAAGCATAAAACTTAAGCCTTAAGATTTAAGTCATAAGAAATTGATCAATAATAGTTGATTAAAGCTTAAGTTTAACATCTTAAAATCTCATAATAGACACCGCTGTTTAATTATATCAATGTAGTTTAATTTTAATCTTTGTTCAACTAATTCTTATTTTTTCTAATTTCTGATGTTAGAAAAAAGATGAAGTGTACGAAGGGATGCTTGCAAGGTGCGTACAATTTTCTAGCTAGAAAAACGCATTGTATCAGCCGCGGGCGGAAAACTCGCCGAATGTTCCAAAAGCTTCGCGTAATCTATCTGTGCAATACGCATCCCTCTACTGAACGGTGCGACTCAGGGTAGGGGGTTGTGGAGTGATACCGCTGCTTCCGCGAGGAGGCGCCAGCGATCGGTGGCGCGACTGAAATCCCCGGCCCGGCGCGAGGCCGCGAAGCGGCGACAATCGTCATCGCAATCGCCGGACGATCGTTGCCGGTTTCACCTCGATCGCCCTCGTCGCTGCTGGCAGCGTACGGACGAGAGAATTAAATCGTGCGCGGCGTGATCAATAGTCATTATCGCTCGGCTGCGATCGTGCCGCTTAAAGTTTGGAATAGTCGGCTGCTTAAAACTTGTCGTCTCGTCACCGGATATATATATATATTACGTACACAACACATTACATACGCGCGCGCTTTAACCCCCTCGCCGACCAGCTGACTCTCCTACTCTCTGTCTCTCACTCTCCTCCCGGAACTGACACTCGGAACCGCCGCCGGCGACGCATCGCCGACGATGTATTGTCCGGTCGCGCGCCGTCAGCGAGCCGCGCTGCTCCGTCAAAAGGGTTGAAAGAGCCGGAGTAGGAAAAGGTCGTCGTCGCGGGAACAAGCGAGAAGGAAACGCAAGGAAGCGCGCCCCAATTGCCGGTGAGTATCGTTAAGAGGCGAGTTCTTTGTATCGCTTACCGAATTTAGCGATCGCTTTTTTTTTTTTTCAAAACGGAATTGCGCGACGCGATAACAAAGGACTCGCGAAATGAACGTCCAATATATTTTACAAAGGTACAAATCAGAGTCAACAGTATAGATGTATGATATGTGTGCGAATTCGAACTCTATCAAATAACAAATGAAGACGTTCCGACTCCTCGCTTTTAGGTCATTCTCAATAATTCACAAAAACGAAAATGTAACCGAAATTATAACATACATGAAGATTAAAGAGACCATCACACTCAAATACATGAAAAATAGAGCAAGTCACGTTGAGATACAATAATTGAGGATGACCTAAAAGCGAGGAATCGAAACGTCTTAATTTGTTATTTGATAAAGAATTTGAATTCGCACACAAACACCCAGTGTTGGTATTTTTTTGTAATTTATATTCTCTAAAGCTTCTTATCATATTCTCGTTCTAATATATTTCTCGTCGATGATTTAGACTGTATTTGTATATCGCGAGGAGTTTCTTTTGATATTTAAACGCATAACACGATTTGTATAACATATAATATGTTTTTTGAATATTCAAGCGTCACGTCACGCAACAAACAGGAGCACCTTGCATGTACTTTTCAGACGAATACATTCCTCGTGATAAGTTTTTCAAGCGACTTGTACACGGATTTTATTTCTAATTCAATTTGACGCGGTATCCTCCACTCGCGCCAGGCGGTTGCTCCAGTTTTTCTAACTTTTCGCAGTGTCGAAATAAACTTCTCGCTTTGTCTCTCAGGGAAAGCCTCTTTTTTTTTTTTTTCCTTTGCGATGCCACGATGGCTTAGGCTGCTCCGCGATGTTGATATCGCATTCTTGCCCGTGGAATTTCTGCGTGTCCCGAAAGTCGATAAGCACAATGCCGCTGCGTTGACAATAACAATAATCGCGAGAGCGATAATAATGATCGACAAACGATTTTTTTTCTTGTTTGTGCGCTTTTGCAATAATATTAAGTTTATATTACATGAGAAAAATAGGCAAATGAAAGTGAAACTTTCGGTAAATAAAACGCAATTACTCTTATAATGTAATTTTAATACTTAAACAATAGAGTAATTGTTATACCTGGAGTTTTGTAAAAGTACTAAGTTTTTTTTTATTTACTAGGAGCGCTTTGTTAATTAAATTTTCATCGGTCTTGTATTCCGTGCATATACATCGTAATTTTTATTTCAAAATGCGGAAAAAAATTAAGTAGCTTTTTCCTAATGATTAACACTCTAAGAATCGTTTTAAAGATTCAACGTATTTATCTGTGTGTTGTTAAGCTGAGTTTGATAATAATTGTTCGAAAAGTAGTATCTGAAAGTATCCGAAATTCAACATAAATACAGATTTGAAATAATTTTGTTGATCAAAATAATCGTGTAGGAACTTCAGGCAGAGCTGCAAAAAATTCCAATAACCAACCCGAACGTTCTACATAATTTTGATAGTTTAACAAAATTATTTTCAAGTCTGTGCTTAGTAGTTAGATTTTTAAATATTTTAGCAAAACCGTTCTTTTCATGTATGGTATTTCAAATACGGCACGCAATGTCCCGATCGATGATAACCGTTTAATGAACTTCGCGAGTCATACGTCTCGCATCTTGTTTCTTGTTGTTTGGTAACACGGGTATCGGTATAAACTCGAGTTGGCGTGTGTTTGTGTATCTGCACGCCTGGGTCATTCGATGATTTCCGTACACGTGAGCCGTGCTTTGCATCCCGGTAACGGTTCCGAAACCAACCACCGCTCTTCGCAACGCTTCGTGTGCGTTCTGACCTTTATGTTTCTATTTATGTAAATAAAGACAATATCGTCGTTCGTTCGATGCTGCAAAACGAGCGGCGCGTCGATGCATATTCAAAATTTACACGAGTAGTCGGATTAACGATCAATTTACACCTTGATCGTTTGTGTAATTAGGGATCGTAAAGTTTCGTTTAATACGAAATAAAGAAAGACACTCTTATACAAATGATAAGAAATAACAATAAAATTCACGTCGACACTCGGTAGTTATATCAAGAATAATGTGTTTTGTGGAAAAAATTAACATGCTCATCTCTCTCGTGGAGTAATTGAAGCCTGTGGCAGGTGCGTGTTTTTTTTTTTTGCTGGATTGTTAATAAATTATTTTATAGAAATTGTGAGTTCTGTGTAGAGCAATTTTTGTAATCTACTTTGAGCCGCAGGCTCAAAGCAGTAAACGGGAGAGAGAGAGAGATTATCGTTATTAATTTATTATATTATCATATGGAAAAATATTGGAAATGTAACGGAAGCGACAAATGTCTGACACGGTATTTTTTTTTCCTATCGATCAATCGTATATAAACGAGTGCTCCTCTTTCGCGGCGATCTCCGCGCCCTTCGCAACTTTGTTCTGGCGGAGACTGTACCCGTTGTTCGCAAAGACGATCGTTACCCACCCCGGGTGAGGATCTCCAAGAAAGTTGCAAGTGCAAAGGCTGAGCGGGCACGAGTTGCAATGCAAATGCCGTCGGGTTCCTGGCATTCTAATTCTTATGCGTCAGCGAGCGAGAAAACGCGGCCGAGAGTGCGGCGCGCGCGCACGGAAGAAGGGAGCCGCGCCGCTGTCTTCTCTCGCACAGGATCCAGTTTCCCTTTTTCTCTCTCTCTCCCTTTCTATTCGCCACCGACAGCGCAGGACGAGACTCTTTGCTGCTTTGTGCCCTGCATCTACCGAGCGCACTCGTTCACCCTCGTGCGCGCGCGAGCGTATGCGTGCGTGAGTGCGTGCGTACGCGCACGCGAAATTGCGTGCGTCGTAACGAGAGGAAGGAAGATGGAGTGAGAGAGAGAGAGAGAGAGAGAGAGAGAATGAGCAGAACCCCGCCGCAACACGCGGGCCTTCACGCTGGAGGAGAATCAATAGATGTGCGTTGCATCTTGCCCCTCCCCGTCCCCCCGCGACCCCCTCTTCACGCGTTTTCGGCTGCCACCCTTCTGCCACTGACTCCGACCTTCGCACGCGAGCGCGTACTTCGCCGTGTACTTTGCGAGCCGCATACGATTTACGAGCCACACCAGACGATCTGCATTCTCGAACGCTATTAATCCGAGGATCTGCACATAAAAATGGAAATTAAATCCACAAAATACTTAATGAACAAAATTCGAAAGTGTGGTGCACTTTCGATCGCGCTATTCGCATAACACACACTCCGTTAAATCTCATCGACAACGTCATCTTTGCTTTCTCTCAGACAACTTCTGCAGGGTCTAGAAGTCTTTATGATGTCTTCTATATTATCTTTAAATATATGTATATCTCTATCTAAAGATGTGTCTTTATGACGTTTTTATGATGTCTTTGAAATATGCCTGTTGTCTGAATTGTTTTTTGCTTCTTACCTCTTGTCTTTTTGCCTGTTATTCTGTTTCTTTTTGTTTTTCGTGATAAAATTCTCTCCAAGATAAAATCGATACTCGAAATCTCATTGACCAACTTCGTAGAGATGAAAAACATATGACATGAAACGCGATTGTCGATAAAATGCGAGAGAGAAACAAATGCGGTGGAAGAAAAGCTATGAAAGGTAAGAAACAAGAAATCGGAAGCAAAGAGCAGATCAGGACTTCACGATATAAAATGCAAAACGTTACCTATTCCGTATTTTTGCACGCGAGAAATTGAATTTCGTGTAATTTATATGAGAAACAAGATAGATAAGCGTCGTTTTTTTTTCGTCTCGTTTCGCGCCAATGAATCGATACGGGCGTTATCCGTGAAAGGTCGAAAGTTCATTAGCGACTAAATCTACTCGTGCGAGCTAATCTTATTCCTCTCACGTACTTTAGCTACGCCTCGATGGACCTTTTACCATCTTTTTAACCATCATTTCCGCAACCCGTTCTATAATATATATAGGTTTTTGCCCATTTCGTTGCGTTTTGTACACCATATTGCCTCCACTATCGCGCGCGATCTTATCGTCTAGAAACTTGACGCATATATTAAGATGTGATAGCAGGATAAAGGCTAATTATCACGTAGTCCTAGAAAATGGTATAATTTGGTATACATGCCCGGATCGTATTTTCTGTCGAACTTCCCGCGGCATCGATTGTCCGTAAAGATATCTGTGTGAATGCTAGTCGCCCTTTTCAACCGTCTACTGAATTATTTACATCGATGATTGTCGCTAAGGAAGCGTACACCTTTTCGTCGTCTCCTCTATGTCGATTCAAATGTAATTAGGAAGGGTTAAATTAAGGAATACATATATTAGATATTTCCCAAAATCTATTAAGATAAACGAAATGTCAATTTTTTTCGAAAAAGTATTTTTAACAATTTGCAATTTATTATACATTAAAATATTGGTCACGCGATAGTGCTGCATTTTTCATATCTGAGTAAAGTTTGAGCGCCGTGGAAGTGAATAATTCATCGTTTAGGGCGAAAGCTGAGAGACTGTTCGTGAAATTTCTCCTCCAGTAAATCATACGCCGCGCGATCTCCGGCTGTGACGACAGAGATCGAACATCCCCTTCGTCTTTGTGAGAGAAAGAGCTGACCGTCGCGATAACTACTGTCTCGATATTGCGTAACGATGAATGACACCCTTTGAGGACATTTAATAGCGCTACAAATAACGCCCCGTTGCTTTCTGTCCGTGGTTGTAGTCGCCGATCGAAAGGAGACCCTCGTCTTTAAACGTTGCGACGTTTCGTGCATCGTGTTGTGCGCGTTAGGTAGACCGAAAGTAGCGACAAGGTTTGGAGGTCGATAGGACGGGGCGAGATCGAAAGCGAGACCGCGAAGGGAAAGCGGCGAAAGTGAGAGAGCGCGAGTAATCGTAATCGTAAACATACAACCCGGCGCAACGTGGGCGAAGGAGAAGGGAAGAGAAGAGGGAAAACGGAGGGAAAGTTTGGATGAAAGGGAAAGGGAAGGGAGCGAGGGAGGACAAGTGAGAGTGAAGAGGGCGGCCGAAGGGGCGCGAAAGAGGGTGGTAGGCGAGAGAGAGGGAGAGAGAGAGAGGCGCAGGTGAAAGCGAAGGTGGTCGAGTTAGAACGGCAGTATTCGGAGAGGGTGAAAGGAGGTTAATGATTAGTTCTTCCGAGGTCGGGGGCTGTTGCCGGGTGCAGGTTGCTTCGCTCTTCCCCTTCATCGCTCTTTCCTCCTCCTCCTCCACCTCCTTCTCTCATATCCTGCCGCCATTCCGCGTTTCCCCTCTTGCGCCGATATCTCCTCTTTTCCCCTCGATCCCTTTATCATTCTCTTCAACCCCCTTCGTGCTCTCGGCCGTTCTACCCAACCTCCAAAAATTCAGACCCCACCACCATCGATGAAGCTACGCACGCACGACGGAGTTTGAGGGCTTGCAAGGTTGTTCTCCCCTCCACCCTAAGCTGCTCCCAGGAACGTGTCGATTATTTATGGGGCCATCCTTAAAACCGCAACGTGTATATATGTGAATTTCTATTTCGGTACGATTGGTACGAATCTTATCGAGATTTTTATTCCAGCTCGAGAAGAAACGTCACTCTCGCGCGGTGCTGCATTCGTGACATTTTTCCGTTTATTTCAATAAATTTATTATTGATCATACAAGTGCAAATGTTACGTGTCTTTTTCTTTTACACATTACGAATCCGTGTTGAGATGAATTTTGAACTGAATGTTTTCATTGTCCCCAGCATTACCAGTATTTCCCGCAGCATACAGTTGAAGTATATGTACTCTATAAGGTACACTATTAAAAGCTGCTCGTTTATGCAAATTACACGGTTATTATAGCCAAGTAAAATATTATGCGGTTTTTATTACGTATCGTCGGCGTAGGTCGACGCGCTGCACAATGTAGCAGCGAGTCTTATATATCGATCCCGAAATTGGCGGCATCTCCACGCTCGAGAGAGGACGCATTCAGAGTCACCTGCCTAATCTGACTAACAAATTTTATGCAGGGGACAAGTGCCGTGTATATACACCGGCGTTCAATCTTAATGATTAGAACGTAGCTGATGATACGCTTCCCTCGAACGCGTTAGAAAGATTTTCGTAAAGCTCGGGCCGTGTTCGTATACGATAATTTCGAATGCAGGTGCACGACCCTCCGTCGTTAAGAACGGTCGGCCGTAACCACCGCCGCACATACATATTTAATTCAACCAAACCATCGCGCGTTTATAAAAATTTATATTAGGATCTCTATGCTGTTAAAGAATAACTGCAAATTACTACTATATCGTGCGGAGTTTTTCTTTTTATTAATAAAAGAAATCTTCTCAACCTAAATTTTGATTTCTTAAATGAAATTTCTATTTATTCACAATTAAAATTACGCATGAAATAAGATACATTGTATTTTTATCTACGGGGAAAATGGAGCCACTCTTTTTTAAGATTGACTCAATTTTTACTCTATATGATAGAATGAGATTTTACTCCAAAGAATTTTGGTAGAGAACATTTCTCTGGTATTTTTATACGTTTTTGAATTTCAGTTTTCCTCCGAGCATAAATTCAATTTACTTGCATCGCGACTTGAATCAATCGGCCGCGCTATGGCCATAGTGTATTCAGTGTCTCACGTGATACTCACTTCGGCATTTTCTGCTGCGTCCATTACATAGCAACGAGCTTATTTTGTCGATTCCTCGACGGCGCCGCCGTGTCCGGTGCTTCCGTTCTTCGTTATCCGGTAGCCGGTAGTTAAATTATTTTATCGATTGCACGAAAGAATCTCTCTTCTCCAGTGAGAGTGAAAGAGAAAGTGTAATAGAAAAAAGAGAGAGAGAAAGTAGAAGACGAGGAAGAAAGATTTGCCGTGGCCGCGCACCACCCCTTGCAGCGTCAGCCCTGGGCTCCCTAACGGCCTCCGAGGACTTTCCAGCGAAAGTGATGGCCGTGGCTGCGTGTAGGAAGGACGCCGGGAGAACGATGCGGGGGTGGCAGTGACGGTGGTGCTCCGTGTTCTCAGCTCTCTCGCGGGAGGGGGGGGGGGGGAGGGGTTGGTAGAATCGTCGTTGACGGAGGGGTTGGTCGGCCGCGAGGGAGGTCGGCTTCAGAGGACGGCAGGAATGGCAGGAAGGGCGATACGATATAGCGAACGTGGGGGGGGGAGGGAGGGGTTGGTAGAATCGTCGTTGACGGAGGGGTTGGTCGGCCGCGAGGGAGGTCGGCTTCAGAGGACGGCAGGAATGGCAGGAAGGGCGATACGATATAGCGAACGTGTGCGCGAGGATAGACGCGGGTAGACGCGGGGGCGAAGGGTGGGTACGCCGGTAACCTTGCAACCCTCTTGCGTACGCGCGCGCTTGGAGGAAGGGGAAGAGAGAGAGAGAGAGAGAGAGAGAGAGACTGGAATCCCGCGACCGCTGGAGGGGTGGCTGCCGGCCGCGGGCTTGCGAAAGCAGTCGGGGGTGCAGCCGCGCACCGGGGCGGCAGTGACGGGCGTGACGTAGTCGGAGGAGGATGTACGCCCCTGTTGGCGAGGGCCCCAGCAACCAACGACCATCCCTGGTCAATCCATGGTGGCTTCATCCGCCAGGTACGGTCGACCAGTTGTTGCTGTTATTGTTTTCGTTATTGTGTCGTACCTCCTCCACCTGTCGCGTTATCGGCGTCGACTGTTGATACCGTTTCGGGAGGCTTTCACGAGTACATGTTTGTTTTGATCGCAACTCTCGAGAGCCGATGCGTGGGGTGTGGGAGATTGCGAGGGGCGGCTTTGAACTTGAAGCATAGCGGCGGTGCTACGAGGAGGAGGGATGTAAAGCTTACTCGCGGCGGCGACTACATGGTGTGAAATAGTGAATTTATGGATAGCGCCTCAACGATTTTAATATGTCAGTGGAAAAGGAAATTGTCAACTTTCGTGACGTAAAAATAAGTTATTTTTACGTGATCTGTTAATTTCTCATTTAATTATTATTTTATTTTTGTTTGTTACTCATAGAAACTGAGAAACTTTATTTTCATAGTTCTAATTATTATCCTAATTATTCTAAATATTTTTTATTAATATTTTGCAATATGTGTGTACTGTATAACTTACAATATGAGGATACTTATTTAAATTGCTACGATCATTAGTGCAATGGAATATATCGTTTTATTGTTTTGAAAAAGTAAAAAAATTAATAATATTAATTTTTAAATTTTTCTCATAAAATATAAAAAATTACATTTGCCTGAAAAGAGGAAAAAATTATTTTTCAATTTGACAGAAAATTACTGATTAATTAAATATTGGCAAAAATGAATATATTCCTAATGATCAAATAAAATTGTTATTTCACAACCTATAAAATTACTCTTTTTGAGATGTAACGATTTTTTATGGAAATGTTAGTTCCACTTCGATTATATGGGTAGGGTAATATTTATCAAACTTATTCATATATGTGTATACTCATTTATATTTTTTAGTAATAACTTAATAAAAAATAATATTTTGTAAGTGTTTTTGTGTAACTTTTGTAAAGTAAAGGATCGAGCGATACATGAAATTTGACGTAATTCAACAAAATAAGTACCATTTTATATACATATGTTAAAAATTGTATAATATTCTAATATTTTTATTCTCTTAAAGATATTCTTAAAATATGCCTCTTCATGTGTATACCCACACCTAATGTAGGGTACATCCAGAGAAAGGTTTCTTCGATTTCCTTGAGAAATTTCTCAAAGAAATTTTTTCTTTGAATGGATGAAACCTTTCTCTGAGTGTACGTGCTATTCTAACTAATACATATTATAATGTAGGGGAGACCGGATCTCGTTGGCACAGCTTCCACAATTTCAGCATTAAGTCCTTTAAATAACTGATTATTATGATTCAACTATGAATAATATGATAGAAAGAACTTTTTTCTATATTTCGATGCTAGAAACGATTCTGTATAAAGCCCATTCTACAATTGAGTAAGTATAGTTGTAATGGTTGTAGTTATACGAATTAACCAATTACAGTCAAATATGAAAAAATGTTCGACTGTGATTAATCAATTCTTACAACTACAACCACTTACAACTACGTTTACGCGATTGTAGAATGGGCTTAATGTACAGTTTCTTTGTAGTAAGTGCAATACGAACACGCTGCATTGCAGCTAGCTTGCCCCAATATATGTATGTACTATAGACAAGTGTTGCCCATAGTACATAGGTACATCAAGACATAACTTCTTAAGAGAAGTTATAGATACCTATCATGGAACAAAATTGGAATGGATTCCGATCGGAATTGTTCAATTATTCTCCAGATTTCTATTGCATGTGTTTTTTTTTTTAAGTAAAACGGAATAATTTTCTATCGGAATCTCCATTCTCTGAATTTGTTTCATGATACATGCCCAGGATACAATTTTTTATATTTTTTATGTAAGTTACGTAGTACCCCACGAACATCGATAGGTACGTCTTACGTGCGGAATGCGAACGATAGCTCATCGTGCTAACCTATAGGTTATGCACCTGACCTTGCATAAGTTGCATTAAATATGAGTCAACGTACCCCATTTCTACATACATTTGATTTTGATGGTTTTATTACTATCAAATTACTATCATCACTCAAAATAACATGTCGTATATAATAACAAAAACTTTTTTTTTTAATGATAATACGTCATTTAGATTTATTTTCTCAAGCTGATAAATATAAATGCGAAATATTGAAAAGCTCGAAAATCTTTGTATCCCTTGAATTATACATTTTTCTCTTTTTTTATTATCATAGTTGTTTGATTTTAACGAAACTTAAGGATAAGTACCTATGTTATAAAAGACATATTTTGCAGTTACTTTTCCATTGTTTCTTTTGTCACAAGTACATAAACTGAACGCAATGCCAACTTACCTCTCGTGCCAACGAGACCCGGTCTCTCCTATATAAGTGCTCATAATATTCTCATGTTGATATTATTTTATGCCGTTAACGCTCTAAATAACATTGTAACTATCTCGACAAATTATATAATAGTTTGCACGCTCGTTAAATCGTCGAGACTATTATTACACGCATACACCGTGATTTCAATGCTTCCTTTGTTTCTGCTCTGTAAAATGCGTCCACGTGCAGTAGCAGCAACAGCGGCAGCACGTCGTCGTACGTGCATTATGCGCGTAGCGGTACCTTGTCGGAAGTCGCGTTTATTTCGTGGCGTCATAAAAATGGATCGTACATTCTGCTTCTTCCACCTAATTTCCCTCCCCGGTGTCGTCTGCGGCTTCGAAAAAACGCGCATAGCTCCCGCGGGGCGGAACCTCCCGCTAACGACCTCCATTCAGAAAATTTATTGCGCTGCCGTTCTCTTTATACAGCGACCAGAAAAACCATTCCTCCGCGGCTCCGGACATACGAAAAAGTCAACGCGACTTCCGTGTACGCGATGACTTTCGAGATCATTTGCTCATCAACTCTTACGAGTCTTACGACTGAACAAATCTTTCAAATCAGGCTACTCTATATTAAGCAATCAAGCTAGAAGAAAATTCTCGGGGTAATCTTTGCATCTTTACCTAAATTATTTCTGGCGTATATACATCCTTTTATCGGATCTTGTGCTATCCTTTTCTGACTTACAGCGAATTTGATTGGATGCACTGGTGCATAATTAAAGGCGTTGTAAATTGATTTAATCTGAATGCAACAGTAAAATTAAAATGTCAATATTATATTTAGAATTACAAAATATATATAAATCTACCTAGCTAGATGTTTATCGAAAACTTACAAAGTACAATTAAAACAACAGACGTTTAGATTTAGACGTTTAACCAGAACATTATCACATGAGATAAAGGTCGAAACATCTGTTTAAATTGTACTTTGTTTAAAAGTTAGCAGTAAACACCTAGCTAGGTTCGCGTAACTTCTATTTATTTATTTTATTTTTATCTAATTGAACCTCGTTTAGGCTTGTTTTTTTTTATATAGTAAAGTGTATTGAAGATTTGACGGTACTTCTGTATTTATATTAAACATATGGTACGTTTTAATCTGTATACGACATGATATGATTTGATTGAATGCATTCTGAGGGTATTCGATCAAATTTGCTATTAGAAATGACGATATCTCGCCCGTTAACAACTGAAGAAGCGTTTAGCCGCACCGTATCTGCGAAACAGCGATATGCCGACGATTAGAATTTCGGGGAAGGGAACACGTCGCATTCCGGAAGCTCCACTTTCCACCTACGGATCGGAGAACGATGTGCATCAGAAGACGGACATGGCATCGCTCGTTCATGACGATCAAAATCTACTAGTAGGGGCACACTGTTGAGTCGGCCCAAAACGTAGGGCCACCGGCGGGACGGAGGAGGAACGAGAGCCCGCGAAAGAAAGAGAAAGAGAGGGGAAGTCGAACGAGCCGAGCATAACCCATAGAACAGTCCAATTCAGATCGTGCTTCGCGCTGGGCGTTTTCGGCGCGCACGCTTCATTCGCGCTCGCTCGTGCGCTACCAATACGACTTGGCGAAGGCAGTATATTGTCCTCGGGATGATTGACATTGATCTCGCGTACGCGCTGTGCCCATTCCATTAATTGTCGTAACTGCATCGGCTACGGTTCTTGCACTTTCCTGCATTTCTATTCATCGTTTTGTGAATGAGTCATAGTGATATTCGTACGCGTCGACGAACGATTTCTTTTCCTGAGGAACGATACGCAAGCATGATCATCACGGCGAAAGCGCATCCCTGGACGCGGTATATCGAGGATTCGTGAGGCTATAGTTACGGTGAGGGTGCTTCTGTTTTCTCTTTGAGCTTTTCTAGATATACAGGTTCAACGTAAAGGCCGGAGCACGCAGACCTTTACATCACAAAACGGTGTACACTGAGAGTTTTAAGGCGTAAAACTTAAGCTTAAAAGCTTCTTAAGGCGTAAGAAATTGGCCAATTGTAGTCCATTATTTTTCTCACATTCGACTGTGATTGGTTAATTTTTTCCGGATTGAGATTTAAAGCTTATTAAGTTTTACACTTTAAAAGCTTATTGTCGCTTAACGCATAATGTACAAAGCATTAGAAAATCAACCATTTAAAGTTTCATGGAAAGGAAGGAAACGAAGGACTTTGATTCATTTTCCTATGCATTATGTGTTATGCGTTGTGCAAGTCTCTGTACTGCCGTCTTAACGGTCCGAATGATTTTTCAAACACTTTCAACAACTAAAATGATTGGAAGGTCAATATTTATCTGTTTTATGCAGGTTACAACATGTGATTAAAAAATTAAAAAATTTAACAACAAATTTCGTATATCATTTGCAAATTAATTATTTCCTAACTGTATCATCGAAACGTGGGAATACTGCAGAGCCCGACGTCGACCCCGACTTTCGTTACTACCGAAATTTCCCAAGGAATGAAAGGCGAAGTTTTACGAGATATAAAAGTTACAAGTTGCACGCGCATTATTCTCAGAGGCTGTCAACATCGACGCTCAATCCTTGATTATTTGTCGCCGGTAAAAATGCGCTTACATCATCGCGCCTGATTAAAATGGATCTACGACGACGATCCACGAGAA